TGTAGACCTTTCTCAGATTTGTTCATTTTGTGATGATATCTCAGTTCTCTAATTTGGTGAATATTTTTGTCATTTTGGTAAGAAGTGATATTTTCGACTTCTTGTTGAAAACTGTAAGTCCAATTGCTTTGATACTATTCATATTGTTCATTTTCTAATGATGTCTTCAGTTTTTTAATTGAAATGTGCATTGCTAACAGCGGAGCTATCTCAGCCGATAGGCTGCTTGTTTTATCTTAGCATCTGTCTAGTATTTTTTTACTTTGTTTTCGTCGTACAATATAAAAATTAATTCAAAATGTTCAAAACTTAAAATAAATGTTCAAGTGTTAGGGATAAATTAATTATTAAAAATAATGAAATTAATTATTTCTTCCTTATGGTGTATTTACGTCATATAATATTTAATTTATATTCTCGAATAAATTGTCATCGATTAAATGTTGATATGAAATAAGTACAGAAAATAAGAAATGAACGATTGGTTGGGTTTAGATTTTTTCCGTTTTGAATAATTTTGTTGTTGACAAGAAAAATTTCTCAATACCGAGAACTGGGTCATACGATTGTTACATAATTTATTGTATTGACAAAAAGATTGTTGGTTCAATGATAATTATCCAAACTGACAATACTGGACGGTGTAATGGTGGGTAATCACCAGACCGTGAAACACAATCTTGGATAGCTACGTTAATATGCATGATGGAAGTCGCGCTATCAATCCTTGCGGCCAGTCTGAGTGAAAAAAAAAAACATCTCCTGTTATAAAAATAATACGAGGCACACGGGATCGGATTCAACAATACAGAATCCCCGTCGGTCTGTAAAAAAGGTGTAGGTTGTTTTAGGTGTGAAATAACGGCGACGACCCTTAGTTTTAGTGTAAGCTAGGTTGTAGTATGGTCTGATAGAATTAATATTCAAAACAGTGTAGATAGTTGAGTGATATATTACACAATAACATATACTAATTTACATATTATCGTTTTGTTATTGTTATATCCTTCATTGCCAGTGTCATATGTATAAAATCTACGTCATGTATCCATGACAACACAATCATTGTCAAGCAGAGATTCGCCATTAATGCGTCAGATACACCTAATACACATTTATCTGTGCTTTGTTTCTGAAATAATTCTAACCGTTTTTTTTTTAATGTACGATATTTAGTAGGGTAACTGTTTTGCATAATTATGATAATATTAATGTAGTGTCCACACAAGGAAATTGAGAACATTTACATTGCAGAGAATGCGTCATAACACTATTCTATAAGTACCATACTGCTCATATAAATTGCATATATCCATGGCAACACAAACCTTGCCAAGGCATCAGAGTCCTGTCAGCCAGACTGTCTGTTGCCAGACTTTCAGCCAGACTGTCTGTTGACATTTTGTGACCTGTCATTCGACACAACTATAAATAATTATTAACCGACGGTTATAATTATTACAGTGCGACAGATTAGCAAAGTGCACTGTAACGCAGCATTTCGAA